CCGTTGTCAGTCCTGTTGGTTGGGATTGCATGTGAACCTCCAAGTAGCCTGGAGGTTCGCTGCGTTCTACCAGCATGAAGAGTAAGTTTATCACATCGACGAACGAGCCGTAGGAAGTCACTGGAGAAGAGATGGTTGGTCTAATTTTTCCCCGTGAGTTGCGCTGCATGTCGGATATCCGCATCGTCACTCCTTCCTATTTAGATATTGGAGTCTGTAACGAACAGTTGTTGAACTGCGTCCGTCCATTTTTTGCGCTCGTAGTGTTCCTATGATGCTATCTATTTCACTCTTGATTGATCAGTACCCCAAGGTTTTTGGATTTCCTAGCTCAAGTTCGAGCAACATCGGCGGCCCACTTAAAAATTATATCAAGCTGACGAGTTTGTTGTGCAATCGCTTTTGAGTTGATCCAATGCATAATCTCCTAAAGGTCTACCTTCATTCTCTCAGGGTCTGTCGAGTTTCGCCAGTGGTACTCACTGGCTATCTTGTTTATTGGGATATATATATATATATATATTGCATGTGAGGAAAGGAGGATTTTATTCAATTTAATGGAATGAATTTGTCCTGTATAGTGCAAATGAAACGTGGACTGAAATCTAAGAAACACTGGACACCTGTTCCGACCAGGTTGGGTCTCATCAGCAGATCGCAGAACGCAAGCATGCTACCCACTCTGCCCCTGGTCAACTGATCGGACAGTTCATAAAAATATAACCAACGTCGTGCTAACAAGCATGGTGCCAACGCAACAAGAACAACAGAGGACGAAGGGGTTGGGGTACATAACAGGATCAATAAGTTGAGCGGGTAACAAAAATAACTTCTTTTTGTTTGTCCGGTTTTGTTAGTTTATTGTTTTTCTTTATGGGACACGAGGTTGAAACAGATAGACCGCATTGCACGCGCGCCACCGACTTCTGTTCTGGGCCATATCTCTTAGCGTCTCTAACCAATGACAATCTGATCTCTTGGGCCCCATCATGGAAGGCGGGCTGCACTAACGAAAGCCAAAACTGAAGCTAGCTTCCTCATCCCTCAACGCCGTCCTCGTCTAACCGCCGCGGTGCTTCTTCCAGCCTAACCCAACAGGGAAAGGTAGACGATGGGTACACATACTCACAACGTGATCAAGCCATCGGATACGGTATGGAACGATCGTTAACTGGGATCGTGTCTCTCGGTCTTACACTGAAATTTCATGTGTTGTTGTTATAGTTCTGTTAGGTGACAACATTATCCTTCAGACTTCAGCTGAGATCCTTAATTCATCCAGTCTCTTATGAATGACGAACACTCTCTGAAAAAGACGTCTGTAAACTTGAATCGGCAGCTCTAGTCAATCCCGATTTCGTCAGGTCGCTATAATGGTAACGCATGCATCTTACATCCGAAGAGTCTCGAGTTCACATCTCGTATAGGTCGGTGAATAAACACCACGGATGAACTGTCACAAGAATGTCTCAAGCCCAGTGCCCCCTGAGTGCATATTTGACTGAATAGACTGAAAGTTTAGTCTATTTGATGGCCAAGTGAAATCAGAGCTTCATTGGAATAATAAATAATTCTAATGCCGGATATGCATTCAAGCGCCAATTTCCCATCCTAATACGAACTGATTATCGTAGATATGGATTGGCCTTGGCTCTAACTATGTGCGGCTCCGGGATCGGCTCTTTCGCATCCAACCCGTTTTTGGCCTGGCTCTTGGACACGTCCACTTGGTGGGGAGCGTTAATTATCCAGGGTGGGATCCTCCTGAATTGTTTCGTCTCGGCTGCCTGTTTCCATCATGCGGATGCTATTCGATTTCGCCCGAAAATTTCGATGATGCAACTAACTGGTGGTGATCAGTCTGTACACTTGGAACAGGATCGAAAATGTTCTACAATGAGGGTAAGTTTGTCCGGTTGAATAAACAACGAATAAAATAAAAGGGGGTGAATGTTCAGTAGTTTGTGGGTTTGTACGGTGTAGTATCCTGAATCATTGTAACTCACAGTTACTTGAGAGTGATGGCTTGTAATACGTGTTCACCGGATGCATAACGAGACTTGTACGAAGCGGTGAAGTCAAACGATGACCAGTCGCAGTTAATGTATTTACTTTTTCACTAAATAAATAAAGTTTTTCCAGTATGATAAAATACAATTTTTATGCAACGAAGAAACTTTATGCAGTTGCGTAATTTTGATTTTTTTCTGAAAACCTCTCGCCGTTTCGCTTGTGATTTTACACGTCTCCTCCTATAGCTCTACCGGTCTGTGTTCTTAATATACTTATCACTGTTCAA